AGCTGTGGAACACTCCTCCCTCATGCCAGGGAATAAGAGGCAAATTCTGCAATCCCAGCCGTAAATAAAGCAGCTGTTTTAATGCCTCTCCTTAATCAGTAGCCAGCCTGTAACATTTCTTTTCCTAGTTACAAGCAACAACAGATACTAGGAACACTTTTTTCTGGGATAAGGTCAATATCTCTCTCTGCAAGATCAGGAAAAAAGAATGTTGTGTTGACAGTGTGAAAAATGATAGGAGGTTTCCAAACTGTTGCTCAATTCATTGTATGCTAGTTGGGCCCAGGAGAACATCCACCATCTCCTTCCCTTGATTATGCAAATATAAATAAATATTTGAATACCTATTCCTACTTTCTAGTCTCTGTAATCTAATGTCTCCCCTGACACAGTACTCTTTCAAATGATCTTCCGTGAGTAATGACTTGAGTTTAGCATTTTGTACCAAGCTGGCACGTAGATCATTTTCTGTAATATTTTACATAAATCAGGAATACTTCCCCCATGGCATATATGTGGCTTCCAGTGAGTTTTTACATAATCAAAAGTGCAAACAACACAATTTTCGTGTAATTTGAAAACACACAAGTAAAACAGCAAACTTGGAGACAAGCATTATGTGTAGGTTCCAGTAAATTGCACTGCCATTCATTGGTTGAGGGCATTCAGGGAGGCATTTGGGCTTTCCCAAAATACAATTATTTTCCTTGGTGTAAAATGGTAACTCATAGCCATTACTCTGTAAATGGCTGTTCAGTAGCCTGTATAGAAGAGATGATAGGTCTCAGTCTGGAATCTAGTAGTTAGGTGTCCTCACCAGAAAAATACAGACAGTGCCTTGTCTGGTGGCAAACTGAACAGTTAAATGGGATGAAAAAGCTATAATCATAGAATTTTCACCATACTGTTACAGGAAGTCTCCATAAGCTAAGGTCGTGGAAAGATACTGTTAAAATGAGTATAGCAGCAACTGAGAACTACCATATTGAGCACTGAGGGTGTGAAATACCCATCAAAATGAGTATTTCCTGGATATAGGAGAATGCCATTCAAAATTTTTCCCAGCACAGACAAATGTGTCAGAATCATATGTTCCTTTGTTTTTGTTTTCCATGGTTATCATTCAAGCAACTGTCAGCGCTGAGCTAAACAGTCTTGTTTATTTTCTTCAAAACTGAAGAATGGCCTGTCGTGTGTGTGTGTGTGTGTGTGCGCACATGTGTGTGTGCAAGACTATTGATGCTTTCACAAAGAGGTGTAGTCACCTAAAGTGATGCACACTACTAGGTGATGATTTAAGGTAAGAAAATATTCTCTTACTCTTATTCAGCACAGAATAATAAATAAGAATGTTGTTTCTACTTAGTGTGTTTTTCCTTTTAATCAGGGTTGAGACAGTTTTGCAAAATCTCTCCTTTATCAGTCCCACTCACCCCCCTGTACCTGCTTTTTATGTCCAGTTTTCAGATGCAGAAAATGAAATTTTTAACAGAGTTAAAGGGAGGACACTACAATAAAGAAACTACTTCATAAAAGGATGAAGTATTAGGGTAAAGAATAGGTTCCCACAGGAAGCTATAGAATTTCTTTTATCTATAACTGCACTGGACAAAATGCTTAAATGAACTCTACAGAAAAAGATCGCCCTACAGCAGAGAATCTAGCAAAATCCTTTGATTAAATGTCATGGAGAGAAACTTATTGTAGGACTCTTTTGAAGTTTATTCCAACCTTGCTAGAGTGGGATGTACAGGCTGAGTTAATACAGTTTTTCTGTCTAAAACTACTATCTTAACAATTGTAGTGTCCATATTTCTGTAGATTTTGTGGGTTTGTGCTGTTATCAGACTAGGTGCACACAGTTAATTGCTTCTCAGTGATGATAATCTATTTATTCTTAATCTTGATCAAATTCCCAAGTAACCTCCCTCAACCCTTGCAGGTGCTGCACAGATTCATCCTCAGTGAATAAAGAAACGTTGCATTTGATTATATGTTAAGTAGATGCATGTGAAATACAGAAAATTAAGGAAGCAAAAAATTTCTAAGTAAGCTGCAAAGTTATGATTCTATTTCATTGTCACTGCAGAAGAGGAAGAAGGCTCCCATTATGGGGGTGGGCAACGAAATGGAAAGAGAGTAAAGAAGTTTTGATAATTGTTATTAATAATACGCTAGTTGAAATAGTAGCCGATATAGCTGTGGTAAAAAAAATTAGAGAACATTTCTAATGTTCATACCCCAGAATTTTTGCAAATCTTTGGAAGCTTAACTCTGATAGGCCTTTGTTTTGATTACAGCTTTATTAGAACTTGATCAGGTTAATTGCTTTGAATAGAAAGGAAAAGTTAAAAGCGCTGATAAAGTGGACATCTCAGTAAATGATCAGTCGCTTAAAATGATTTCTTTGTTCACAATATTAAAATTTTCTATTTGTCAACAGATAGGATCTGGATTCTTAACCACTATGAATGTCTTTCTCGCTGCAGTTGTATACTAGGGGAGGTTCTTTTCCACTGTAGGTTTTTCCCAAAACTTAGTGATGGGTGGGAATTGAGCATTTTCCACACCTTCAAAGCCTTAAGGTATTATGAATTATTTTTTCTTGTACTGTACCCTTTATTGTTCATGAGACCCATATTCTCAGCACAAATGCAGTTGGGTTTTTTTTGTACTTAATTGTGGAATGAATTATATAATTGATTGCTGTGTCTGGGACTGGGAAAAGTAAACAAAATCTTGAAGTATCCAGAGTATGTTTTGCTTACAAGGCTACTGTTTACACTAGATGTGAAACATGAAATGTCCTAGAATTTGCTTTCTGCACATACTTTATCCCTGTGAATACCAAGCTGATGATAAATGGTGGGAATTGAGTGAGTTACTTGTCTGAATAAACTTTTAATAGCAGGAGATCAATGCTTTTCATTTTTAAGAAACTGTAAAGGCTTTGATGATTTTTGAGGCTGGATAAAATGCTGAGTGATAGAGAGACTTCAAGGTACAGATTTCTTTTTTAAATACGCAAGAAAATGCTTATACTTTCTACCATAATCAAACTGGAATTTAAATAAGTTCACAGTAAGTGAAACATGTTAGGAAGTGCAATTGCTAATACATGGAGCTGGTTTGTTGCATTTCAGTGTTTTTCAGATGCAAGGTCAACATAACAAAGGTGGTACTGAACAGAAGGTGACTTGTGCACGCTGCTAACTGAAAGCGTTCAGACATGGAACTCTGCATTCTAATTCTCAAGCTTAGCTGGTGACCTTCATCTTT